GCTAGGCATAACCGTTCCAAAAACTGTCGAATTACGAAAATTCCACATGCACCAGAAAGATGTCATAACCACAGCATCAATGACCTTTCCTTACCCTTTCCCAAAGCAACAGAATCTGACCACTTAATAAGGATGTGAACGTTAAACTGAGTCGGAATATGAATTCCCCACTAAATAACAATAGGCGGCCAAATCTCCATCAACTCAATACAATCTGCAAAGAGGTGATCAATAGATTCCACCGAACGGGAACATATAGGGCATAAAATCGAGTCCACCATGATTCCCTTATGACATAGTCTCTCTCTAGTAGGAATACTGAGTAACTGAATCCTCCATAAAAGAATGTTGATCTTGATGGGAACCCAATTATTCCATCTAGTCTCACCACCTCCAGAGTGAAGCATACTCTCATCTAAGAACCAACGAGCAGAGGAAACAGAAAAAGTATCTGAAACATCTATAGACCAACCCAATCTATCAGGAATCGATTGCAATTGAAAATCTTGGAAAAGAGAAATAAAAGCATCTCACTGCTCCTACTCAATACCACCTCTAGGACTGCGTCTGAAAGTAACAGGATCCCACCCCAAGGTTAGACGATCTCTAACTGTAGTTTGTCTAACAGTATCCAAATCATAAATTCTATGAACAGTTTCAGCAAGAGGAGCCTCTCCGATCCACAAATCCTGCCAAAAATCTCGATACTCTTCTCCTGCAATTGAGTAAACATATGAATCTCTCCACATCCGGATAATTTATATATTTATTATAATAATATTATTTTTTATATTATTATTAAAAAATTTTGAACGGTTATTAATTTTATCTTAAATTCAAGTTTTTTCTTTAAGATGGTAATTATGCAAAAATAAAAAGGTTATGTAATTGGTTTTAGATACTAAATAAGAAACGTAATTATGCAAAAATAAAAAGATATAAATAACAATTTAATTTCACATAATTTTTGATTAAACCTTTTACGATTTCAAACCTTGAAATTTTAATGATAATAACTTTTATATATGTTTAGTTTTCGGATAAAAAAAATAACCTGTTAAAATTAAAATTGATAATAATGATTATAAATTTATATTTGTATAGTAATGCAAAATTAAAATTTATATATATATATATATATATATATTAATATATATATATATATATATATATATATATATATATATATATCAAGGTTGTAAAAATCGTTCGACGGTAGCTTCACGATCGATTGGGGTTAAGGGATTAATCGATCTTGGCGGAGATTAATCGGGAATTAATCGGGGACCATAGGTTATTAATAAAATATTAAAATTAATCAAAGATTAATATATCTTAAGAAAAACAAGTACTTCAAAACTAGAAAATAAGAAAATTTGTAATTTGAAAATTTGAAAATACGAAAATATGAATATTTTGGTATAATATTTGAAAATTTAAAATTTTGGAGTAAAAAAAATTGATTTTTAATTTTTTTTTACTTTTTTTGACTTTTGTTGACCGATTAATCATGCTAAACCGATTAATCCCTAATTTCCGTCAAACACCCATAATCCTAGTCGGTTGGAGAACGTCAAACGATTAATCCTGATTTCTGCAACATTGATATATATATATATATATATATATATATATATATTATTCTAATTTTATCAATTACAATATTTTAAACTGAAGTGATTCTTAAAAGATAACATAAATATCTAATTTATTTTTTATAATATACTATATTTTAAACACTTTAATAAATAAATTATATTAAACATGGTTTAAAAAAAAACAACAACAACGTTTCTATCTTAAAAAATCAAAGAAATCATTGAAAAAAAAAAGACAAAAAAAGTAAGCGTGGTTTACCAACACAAAGAAAGGCGTTTGGAGGTTTTTTTCTTTAGGGAAGAAAGATTCATTTCCCTCCTCCCGCCGAAACCGCTAAACCCTAGGCGGAGAGTATCGAACTCGTCCAACCCCAAAACCGTCAACCCCATCTTCTCCAACTTTCCTTCTTTAAGTTGTCTCCCCAACGGGGTCCTCAAACCGCTAAACCCATTTCTTTCTCTCTTGTTTTCATCTCGTCCATCCATTTCCTCCTCCAACCCGCTATGACTCCTTCCTCCCTTAGGTTAAAGGAGGCCGAAAAACAAAATCTTATGAGTTATTCTACACAGAATTTTCAAGATTTAATTTTTTAAAAGACCGGTATGTGGTAGGTGTATTAGGGTGGTGTGTAGAGAAAAAAACCTTTCTTTTTATTCTTTAGTAACATTGTACTTTTTTTTCTTATTACTATCACTCCACTTTGACATTATTTCTTATCAGATCTTTTCGAAAAATTTATCAAAATAGCAATGAGATAATTGGTTTAAAAGGTAACAATTTACTTATTGTTATAAGGTGATCTGTTATACTTACCATATAGTGGTGGGTGTCATATCATCACCACACTCTCTACCACTAACCATGAGATACTTACCAATAAATACACCACTTCACCTCAATTTTTTAATTATATTTAATTCTTACTACTTTTTCATTAAATTAAAATACCACATTACATTAAAAAATTACATTAATTAAAATAAAAAAATAAAAATAAAAAACCTAAAAATATCAAACATAACTAAAATACACTACCTCTTATTCCTACGTCGGACTCGAACAGACTCTTTCATCACGAGAAAAAGCTCCAAATCTTCGCCTTCGAGGTTGTCCTCTTTCATTTTCAAGATTTCCATATGGGTTTTTGTTTGAAGTGTCGCTTGTGCCTCTTGAAATGACGTTTGCGCATCAATCATTTTTTTCCACCCGATTCATTATCTCGTCCTTATTCTCTTGAACTTGCACATATCGATCAAATTTGTCTTCAAAATGATCCATAACACTAGATCCCGTAGATGTCGAAGCCGCTTTTTTTGCTTTACTTCTTCCAACAGGCCGACGAAGAGGTTGTTCGCTTTCAAGATCGAGCGGATCATCGTTGATGTCAATGTGTGTTCGTCTGTCCGATTATTGGGAAGTTGAATCAGGGTTTCTTGAACACTTTGAAAACCAGAAGAGGTTTGTGAAGTTCATTCCGTTTGTTGTATCTATTTTTTAGCATCTTTCAATTTTAGCCACGCTTTCACGTACGAAAAAGTTTTTGCGGGTTGACGTTGTTTTTTCAAATTGTTCCAAGGCCGCCTTGAAGACATCAAAATCATTTGACCCGCTTTTGCGTATGTTTTGGAGGTTGTTGTAAATTCCTCCAAATTTCGTGCATTTTAGTCGAATATCGCGCCACTTGGAGCTAATTTGATCAGGATTTCGAGATTCACTTCCCGTTAACGCATAAAACACGCTTCGAACTTTCTCCCAAAAACAATTGAAGGTTTGATTATCTCATTCAATTGGGTCTTGGGAAGCCGAAACCCATCCGCTAGCTTTTCTTCTTCCTCTTTTGTCCATGCCACCTTCTTGGGTAGTATTGGGTCGCACCAGTTTTTTTCCTTTCTTCTTTTTTGGTTGAGGTGGTGGTGAAGGTTGCGTTTCCGAAATGAAATCCGGCGAATGAGGTGGTTGTGACGATTGTGGATTGAATTGTTGTTGGAATTATTGAAATTGGTGGAATTGTTGTTGAAAGGTCAGGAAAGGTTGGTATTGTTGTTGGAAAAGTGGTGTTTGTTGGATAGGGAAACCGGTTTGAAGCAAATTGACAAAACCACCTTGCAGGTGATTCCATGGTCGGGAATTGGCGAGGGGCGGTATCTAACGCAAAAGCGTTATCGGGTTTGCGATTTATAAAGTTTTTTTTTGGGGGGGGGGGGGGTATTTTGGTTGGGATCCATTTTTGATGGTTGTTAAAAAGTTGTGTGTATTTTGTATATAGAGAAAGAAAAGAATGTTGTAAGAAATTAGGGTTAAAAGTTTGGTATTTATAGGTATAAAATGTTGTTTAAAAAAAAAATTGTCGTTCAACGGCTACATCCATTCCAAATCGAGAGAGAGGGCCTGATTGGCTGTTTGATTTCGTCGTCCGGAACACGAGCACGCCCGACCACTAATGGCCGGGGTAGTGTGCACGACTCAATTTCGTGGCCACGTATACCATGATGGCCCTCGTCTCGTCGGTATACCATTTGGTCTAATTGGATACCTATAATTGCGCAGTCCCATATGGAAGCAAGGAAAGGTAAGGAGTCATCCCGTACCTATGTTTATGATCTGCAAATTAAACGTTGGCCCATTAAAAAATATATATATAACTAGTAGGATGTAACACATGGTAAAAGAGGCAGATAGAAGCAATAAAACTAAAAAAGACAGGAAAAAGGAGGGCATGGATGAGCAGAAAAATAAGACATATCTTACAAATAAAACGTCAGTCCACCGAGAAGAGTTAAGTAGATAACCAATAGTGTGCAACAAGAAATATGCACATACAAAAAGGCTGAAAATAAAGGACTTGTCAGCATGTGAGCATGTGTAAGTTGCTGTAGCCAGAAGTTGTACACAAATAGCGACTATAGTTGCTAATGAGAAGTAGGAAGCAAAACTTAGAAGGCAATAAAAAACTGAGCAACATCCACCAACAGTGGAAAGAAAGTTAGTGTCTAGACTACTCTTATACCAGTCTATTGCATAGATACTAAACCTCTAAACTATGTCTGTCTTATTTGTCTTATCTTATCTGAGGTCATATCCTTCTCGGTGATCTCTCTTCCTCACACCATCTACAATGATCGTCTCCACCCTCAAATACAACCGTATACTGTCTCCTACAAACATGCATGCACCACCCTAATCTTCATTCCCTTAATTTTTTTGTGATTGATGCAGCTCTCAACACGTTTTTGATTGACATGATTGTAACCCTGTCCAATAAGTCCATCGCAACATTCTCATTTTCACAACCTTCATCTTCCTCTCGTGCTCTTTAAATGGCCAACATTCATAACCATACAACAAAGTTAGCCTTAAAATACAATACTATAATAAAAAAATTGAAAATATATTGTTAGTTTTTGCATTTCTCCCATAGGAATACAAAGATATATAAATAGTATACAGAAATACAACATACAGATCGTCTTTTCTTGGGTTCAACTAAAACTACTGAAACCCAAGATGGTTAGAGTATTACACAACTCCAACACCAACTTTCTCATTTACACATACATCTGCTCTCCACCCCATACCAAACAGCATAAAATATGCATGACTCGAGGAAACTAATCAACATCAACAATAAAAGAATAAATTTGCTTCTTTATTATCTACTCATGGGCTCATATTGCAATCCCTCATGTAAGCCTGATCATAGTCCAGAAACCGATTCCAATACCCTCGAAACTTTGGAATCCCTATTTCCAGCCACGGCTTCAGATTCCCGTTGTAGTGAATCACAGCAGCTTTTTCAATCTCCCTGTGGCTGACACTCGGGTTATACCCAAGCCCAAGTACATGCCATGTCCTCTCCAACGGGTATACCCGTTTCCAAAATGTTATCAAGCCAGGTGGCAGCGTCCCCAGCTTCCACAGTTGTCTCTCATTATTCTGCACCCAACCAAATCCAAATGTTACTACAACTTCAATCACATGATATATATATATATATATATATATATATATATATATATATATATATATATTTTCTTAGTTCTTGCTTATTGCAATTGATGAATCAAACACATACCAACTTTTGCCACGAGTGATAAACCTGAGTGATGTTTTGCTTCCTCCATTCCTCCAAATCAAATACATTCATTCCATACGCCCATCCACACGCACGTGGATTGAAATTTGTAGCAATCAGAGGATTTGAGAAGTTGAGGTATCGATCAAACCGGTGGAAGTTCTCCCCACATGTCTCAACAGCACCAATCACCTTCCCTTTCAAATCAATAGACCAAAGACCACTCAAATCCTTTTGCACCACAATATCATCATCCAAGAACACCACTTTACTAAGCTTTGGGAATATCTCCGCAAGGTAAAACCGAAGATGATTCATGATTGACAGATACTTTGGGTTTCTGAATTTCAGATTGGAATCGGACTCGGATTTTCGTGTTTTGAAATAATAATCGATCATGTTCTGTGAACCCAATTGCTTTAAGACAGGGCTGTAACTTGCATTCAGCCATGTGAATTCCTCGATGTTTTCAACTTGTATTGTGGCCTCGCCAGCTGGATTTGCAAGAAACCACATTCTCATTGCTGCGTAATTCAGCCTATCTGTCACAATGTGGAACACATGTTTTGAAGGATCCTGCTCCAAACAACATGCTTTCATGTTAATCATTGAGTCGATTTCAAGGAATAACCACATTGCTATTATAATTTATAGGTTAAAAAAAAATAATGTACCTTTGCATTGGAAACGGTTGAATTGACAACTACAGCAGTAGCCAACACATTATCCGAAAACAATGCATAGTGGAAGAGGTTGGGGTGATGTAGTTTTTCTTGATTTGGGAATTGTTGAGCAGAAGAATCAAGAGAATAGTATTCGGTTGAAAGGCGTAAGGGAAGACAATGGAGACCCTTTGGAACAGTTTTGGCAGTTAAATGAGTCAGAAACAAGGCCTGTTTCTTGTGGACCCGCAGCTGTTCTTCTGTAGAGTGAATAATGGCACGCAGTTTCTTTACAACAGCAGTGCAATCGTCCTGTATTTGCTTCCCTTTTGCCAGTGTCTGCTCCATTGCTTTCAGCTTCTCATTCGCACTAGATTCATACCCCCAAGATATAACGCAATTATATATTTAAATAAGGTTAAATGAAAGAAATAGCAACGTATTTTTGCATTTAGCCTTAGAATTTAAATTAGGCTTACTTCTTTGGTAGATCTGCATCCTTGGTTGCATCACCAAGTGCTCTTTGAAGTTCCTTCATACGTAACCGAAGTTCCTTAATAAATTGAGTATTTGTTCTTGTTGCTGAAAGGGAAAGGTAAACTCTTGCCCTAATCAACTGATCCTTCAGATACTTAACACGGGTATCTGTTAAAACATGTTCATCTGCTTTCTTGCTTTTGGTTTTTGCAGGTTCAATGGATTTTCCCTCTTTTTTGGTTTCCTAAAATGTCATAAAACACAAAATCATTCTCCAAGCATCAAATAGGTTTTATATATAATTCATAAAGAACCTCAGAAACACAAGATTTCCCGATATGTGAGTGCTTATAAGTTATAAGCCACCGGGTTCAATATTGAAAATATTCACTCCGCTAGCCATAAGGATTCAAGTCAATACTAGCAAATTAGTGAACATATTATATTATGCCCCATAGGCCCACATTACGTACAGCTAATTCCAACATAAATATAAAAGGTTATTTAATAATTTAGTGGGTCACCCGTCACAGGAACCAAGAAAGTAATGAACTTTTTAATTAACTTACTGTTTGAGTCGCTTTCAACTTGTCATTTTCCTTGTTTTCAGCCAATTCTTCAAGCGTCACTACTTGCCTGATGGGGTTGTCATTTTGTCTTTTGGATTCTGATAAAGTAATTGTCAAGCAAATTTTATGATGCAGTGGATAAAAAGTATGAAAAAGGTTACTCAAGGAGTTAGCGATTTTGTTATGGGGTTTTAAGAATTAAACATGACCAAAATGTGATTTGATTAGGGTTAGGGCTGAGTGAAAAAGGTAAGGAAATAACCTTCATTAAGCTTTCTAGTTTTCCTGGATCTTTCACCATCAGGATGTTGAATAGATCTAGCCAAATTTTCCAAATAAACATCATCAAATGGTTCTTGTGATGCAGATAACTCCTGAAACATAATAAATTTGAAAGGTTAGCGAAATGAACATATTAGGAAACATCCGAATTCAGAAACATAATAACTTAGTAATGTTACCTACCTGAGGATGCAAATTTAGGGGCCTGACATCTCGATGCAACGACTGAAGGTAAAAATAGATGAATAAAAGGATCATAAACAATGAATTCGATATAATTGAGATTGGAAATTGAGGGATGAAATATATACCAGTTTTGAAGGCTCCTGAATGAATTCATATGTAGCTGCAAGAAGAAGAGAACGAAACAGGTCAGACAATAGAGATTTGATGGCTGTAAATAAGAAATTCGAGATCTGAGAGTAAGAAAGGGGAGGTACAAAATGAAGAAAATGTAGCGAGTCTGTCGGTGTAAAGCGCAATGGGGGCAACAACTGTCAGAAAAAGCAACACTAGCACTGGCTTTCTCAGCCGCATCTTCATCTTCCCTCTTCCAAAAGAGGACATGAAAAACAACTTTCTATGGTGAAGCCAATGAAATCCGAATGCACATTCTTCCCAACTATATTTAAATTGGATTAAAATTTTCAAACATAAGTACAAAAACAACAATTGCAGCTTAGAAGTTGAAGAAAGCGATGGAAGAGAAGGACGTGGATACGAATTAAGAGGATTTGGGACGTCAAAGCAGAAAAGATGTCGCCAATTAGATAATATTAGATAAATAATATGTTTCCAATTATATGTTTTCTGTTTTACGAATTGTAAATAATACTATTAGATAAAACTTCATAAATGCTCCATGCGGTTTCTATAACGTGGGTTTCAATCCTTAATTTTTTTTATCCTCAAGGAGGGTCCCTGTGGTTTAAAAGCTTTTCACAGATAGTCCTTTTGGCCCATTCCGTTTTTTTGTCCGTTAAGTCCGAGAAAAGATGTCGGCAATTAGTCTTCTGTGTCCAACTATATGTTTACTGTTTTACGAATTGTAAATAATATTAGACAAAACTTCATAAATAGTCCATGTGGTTTCCATAATGTGAGTTTCAATCCTTAACTTTTTTTATCCTCAAGGAGGGTCCATGTTGTTTAAAAGCTTTTCACATATAGTCCTTTTGGCTCCCTCCGTTACTTTTTGTCTGCTATCTAATTACATGCAAACCAGGTGACGACAAATGCGTCTTCTAACTTTTCACATGTAATTAAACGAGGGAAATGGTTATGCCTCAACGTATTTTATCATCTCTTCAAGTCAACATCCTTCGTCCATCTCCGAAGAAACCATATTTCATCTTCTTTCGATTACTGGACGCAATTTCAAACTTTTAGGGTTTACTGGTAAGGAATCGACTGTGGTCCTCACAATATGGGCTTTGCGTGAAAAGACTACAAATAAACTTGACTTGCAAGCTGAATGTGGTATAGTTATACAATCAAGGATGTTTTTTTCTTTTATGGGGTGTTCATTAAAGACTTACATTGCGTTTACCCTCTTTTTTTGCGACCGCAGAAGGATTTAAAAAACTATTTCACGTTAAAGATATACTATAGTGGTATCTTCACCAAGCCACAAGGAAGAAAATACATTGATGGTACTATATCATACACATAATACAGTGACACTTGCCTCTTTTCAGTACATGAACTTGATGACATGGTTTGAGGCTTAGGGTACCAAAATGAGCAGACTTTGTAGTGCAATTTATGTATCCCTGGTTACTCTTTAGATTATGGCTTAGTGAAGATGATTTTGAACCATTTTTAGAAGATTATCCACTGATAGGTGGCTTTGATGTTGAGTTCAATCATGAAGATGTGGTTGAAGCTCAAGAATGAGTGAACAAGGGTAATTTGGACAATGTTTAGGGATTGGTTGATGAAGAGATTGATGAGGATAGTGGAGATAAACCAATGCCAAGCCACTATGTTGATTGTAACTTCCACAGTGTAGAAGGTCCAAGTTACTAATATGATGTTTTGGAGTCCATAGTGTAGGAGTTGATAATTTTGAACCATTTTTGGAAGATTATTTAATGATGGGTGGCTTTAATGTTGAGATGAATCATGAAAAATGTAATTAAAGCTCAAGAAGGTGTGGGTAAAGGGTAATTTGGACAATGTTAAGGGATTGGTTAATAAAGAAAATAATGAGGATAATGGAGATGAACCGATGCCAAGTCAGCGGGTTGATTGTAACTTCCAAAGTGTAGAAAGTCCAAGTTACCAACTTGATGGTGGAGTCCATAGTATATGAGTTGATAGTATTAAACAATTTAGAAGATTATTTAATGATGGGTGACTTTAATCTTGCGTTTAATCATGAAGATGTAGTTGAAGATCAAGAAGGAGTCGGAAATTTAATACGTAAGTAATTTAATACATGAAGATGTAGTTGAAGATCATGATGTATAACAAGTTTTATTTAAAAAAAAAAGAAATTGATTCCTAACCATAAATATTGCATATTCGATAATAATATATTATACTATATTCTTGTATTCTTTAAGAATTTAATACGTAAGTAATTTCCAATATGAAAAAAATTATTATACTATATTTTTATAGAATGCACAACCAGTAATTAAATTTTTATAAAAAAACAAAAAATCTCCAAGTTTTACTAATCATATTAAAAGATATTATAATTAATTTAAAATGTAAAATATATAATTTTATTTTTTTGAAATTTAATTTAAATTGCATCCCTTAATATCCTCACTTCTCATAAATTATTGTAAACCAAATTAACTAATTTCATTTACAATTAATTAAGTGTAAATATAGAGTAATTGTTATCCCATGTTAATACCATGTACTACAAGATCACAACCTTTCATTTTTTTAAATCTAGTGGCTAGAATTTATTCTCACATTCACATAATACTTATGATGCACTTTTGTTGTTCTTGTTCGAACATTATATATATATATATATATATATATATATATATATATATATATATATATATATATATAAAGTTCAAACGAGAACAACAAAATATTGAGAATGCAAACACGAAACTCGATCACATAGTTTTAAATATTTTATTATATTAAAAAATAACTGAATATATCTTTTTTTATTTCATAAATGTACATGTTTTTTGTATTTTATAAAAACTCTCGCCATGCATATTATTTAGAGGTGATTATATTGTTTCATTCTTTATTCACACGCGAATAAACCATAAACATATGTGAATAATACATATAACTACAATTTTTATAAAAAAAATCCTATTTTTATATAAAAAGTTACATGGATATGAATATCAATTTGTAGAAAATAAAATAATACAAATTTTCAGAGTTTCCATTTTTTTTTTTTTTGATAAAAATAACATTTTAAAAGGAATGACCAATAATACATCTCGTCGTTCGAGAGAGAGAGAGAGAGAGAGAGAACTAAACAACTTTGATCCAAATACAACTTGGACATGAAATTTGACATATATGTTAAGTATGACACAAGTAAAAGAATTAGAAAAAATAACATGTTTAGGTGCATATGTAATTTTTTTTATTGAAATTATATATATATATATATATATATATATATATATATATATATATATATATATATATATATATATATCAAGGTTGTAAAAATCGTTTAACGTTAGCTAGTCGGTGGATTGGGTTAAGGGATTAATCGGCTAGACGGAGATTAATCGGGGACCATTAATTGCTAATTTGTTGAATTTAAAAAAAAAATTAAATATGACTAATATCTTATAAAAGTTCGTAAATACCACTAATATCATAACACAATAGGTTAATATGATTAATATAACACTAATCATACCTCAAATAGTTTCTATTGAGATATAAGTTCTTTAAAGTGTTGAAATTTCATCGGGTTCTACTGCTTCACTTATTGTCTATGCAAGGACTAATCGCTAGGCGCCCTCTAATCGGTCAAGTAGCGCCTAGGGATTAATCGGAGATTAATCGAGACATAGTCGAGATTTTTGCAAAACTGATTTATATATATATATATATATATATATATATATATATATATATATATATATATATATATATATGTGTGTGTGTGTGTGTGTGTGTGTGTGTGTGTGTGTGAAGAGAGAGAGAGAGAGAGAGAGAGAGAGAGAGCTAGGTTCAAATGTGGATTGACATCTATTGTGTGGACGTGTGGACAATGATATTCTGTGAGAATAACAAAGAAAATATGTTGTTTAATAATGTGAATACGATCAATCTTACATAACTATTATCATTATTACGCATTCTCACTAATTAAATCGTTTATAAGGTTATTATAGACTTTTTATTATTATTCTCATTCTGTCAGAATGTTGTCGGTATGTTTATTGAGTCGAATTTTTTAAGAATGAAAATGAGTGAAAAACGATGCGTGAGAACAAAAAATGAATAAGAATTAGCGAGAATGCATGGAAATGATAATAATTGTGTGAGGTTGAACGTATTCACATTACTAAACAACTTATTCTTTTAGTAATTCTTATAGAATAACATTGTCCACACGTCCGCACAATAGTTGTGCATCCACATTATTGAGTCCATAGTGTAAGAGTATATGATTTTGAACCATTTTTAGAATATTATCCACTGATAGGTGGCTTTGATGTTGAGTTCAATCATGAAGATGTGGTTAAAGCTCAAGAATAAGTGAACAAGGGTATTTTGGACAATGTTAAGGGATTGGTTGATGAAGAGATTGATGAGGATAGTGGAGATAAACCAATGCCAAGCCAGTATGTTGATTGTAACTTCCATAGTGTAGAAGGTCCAAGTTACTAATATGATGTTTGGAGTCCATAGTGTAGGAGTTGATAATTTTGAACCATTTTTGGAAGATTATTTAATGATGGGTGGCATTGATGTTGAAATGAATCATGAAAAATGTAGTTAAAGCTCAAGAAGGTATGGGTAAGGGTAATTTGGACAATGTTAAGGGATTGGTTAATAAAGAGAGTAATGAGGATAATGGAGATGAACCAGTGCCAAGTCAGCGTGTTGATTGTAACTTCCAAAGTGTAGAAAGTCCAAGTTACCAACTTGATGGTGGAGTCCATAGTATATGAGTTGATAGTATTAAACAATTTAGAAGATTATTTAATGATGGGTGACTTTGATCTTGAGTTTAATCATGAAGATGTAGTTGAAGATCAAGAAGGAGTCGGGAATTTAATACGTAAGTAATTTAATACATGAAGATGTAATTGAAGATCATGATGTATAACAAGTTTTATTTAAAAAAAAATAAATTGATTCCTAACCATAAATATTGCATATTTGATAATAATATATTATACTATATTCTTGTATTATTTAAGAATTTAATACGTAAGTAATTTTCCAATATGAAAAAATTTATTATACTATATTTTTATAGAATGCACAACCAGTAATTAAATTTTTATAAAAAAACAAAAAATCTCCAGGTTTTACTAATCATATTAAAAGATACTGTAAAATACATAATTTTATTTTTTTGAAATTTAATTTAAATTGCATCCCTTAATATCTTCACTTCCCATAAATTATTGTAAACCAAATTAACTAATTTCATTTACAATTAATTAAGTGTAATTATAGAGTAACTAGTCGAATCCCTGCGCGTTGCGCGTGAATATAATGATTTAATTAAAATAATAACATTTAACAAATTCTGATTTAATATTTATACATGTAAAACCAATGTCAACAGCAAAACAAACTCTATAGTTAACATATTAGTTTTATTAATTTTAATAAATTTATATCATTAGTTATTTCCCCTATTAATTCATGATTTTATAAACTGTTTTATGCTTTGTAAATTATATATATCAAACAAATATTGATTCCTATGTATAAAAAAAACAAAGTAGTATGAAAAAATATATACTACAACTTTTGATGATTTTATAGAACGTTTTAAGTTGTGTAATTTATATATAAAACGTATGTCAGTTTGTATATAAAACAAATAACAAATAGTATGAAAATAAGAAATAAGTTGTTTTGAGTGAGCTATAATATCCAATATATATTATAAGTTTTTGTATAACATTAATATAATCTACTTTTCTTATGTCCGATAATATTTTTTTTGGATAAAATAAGAAATAAGTTGTTTTGAGTGAGCTATTAATAAACAATATTGAACTAATAAACTTTGTATTACACTATTTATATTACACCAAAACATCCAAGGTTTCATATATGAACTTTCAAATATTAAACAATGAAATTAAGAATGAAGTCATACAAAATATATCATTATACATAAATGTCATCAAGAGTTTTAAAATAAGT